GCCTGGCCTGGTCCCGGGCCCTGCCGGGTGGGGGCTGGAGCAGAGCGCCCTCCTGGGAGAAACTGCCCGCTGAGCAGCCTTGTCCTTCCCGCTTCCTACGCGCGTGTGTATGTGTATGTATATGTATGTATATGGCGAGGGGGGGTGATGGGCCACGGTGCTCTGTGAATTGTACATATCAACAATGACATAGTTTTTCCACTTCGTTTGGCAAATTTTCCTCCCGCAGCCCATCCCTCCATCAGTCTCCCTGTGGTAGCTAACAGGTTCAATCGGCAAGGTGAAGGAAGCAGATCTCTTCGGGGGAGGCGGCTTCTCGCCTCTCACAACAAAACCAGCCAGGGCCAAGGGCTTTTAAACATTAACTTTCCAGAGCGAGCTTATTTTCCTGGAGCTGAGGAGGGCTTTTTCCCCCCTCTTCTTAAATAACGAGGGTGGTCCCAGCATACTCTATATCGAGACAGCTTTTCATCAGTTGCTCATCAGCATGCTAATTGCTGTATGACTAATTATGCCCTGAATTCCAGTTGATTTTCTTAATGAGACAGCTGGGTTAATTATGTAATCGTATGATTACATTAGCCTAGAGTGCCCTGGCGAAAAGTAACGCAGGCAGGAGCGTGATGTCATTGCACGAGCAGCGCTCACAAGGGGGTGCATTCATTTCTGCCTAATGACAGGGGAGGGCAACGGTACCCACAGTGCTCTTTGTGTAAACACTTATATTGAATTATTAAGATCTGTGTCTTTTTCCAGCTTGCAGAATGAGGGAGGAGTGGGTTTGGTATTTTTTTAAACGAAACTCACTTTGGAAATTCAGCTGGTCATCGATAGTCCTGTTTTATCTCCCGGGTTGAGGTTGGGTTCGGTCTGAGCAGCGTAGGGTTGCAGGTGGTGAGGTGCTGCCTCTAGCTAGTCACGTAATGCGCTGTTTTGGCCAGATCTGTCTTTGCCGTCCTTTTAAAACTGTTCATAAAATACGTAGTTTACACGCGTACACAGCAGCAAAAAAAATTTGGTTCTCTTGCGCTGCTATTCAAAAAAGATTTATCATCAGGGCATGCGTATGGTGGGAGAATAGTCTGAGAGGTGTTACTGCGGCTGTGTTGCGCTAGCTTGTTTGATGTGAAAATAGAAATTACTTTACATTTGTAATGTCAATTTTTTTTCATGGCTGTGTTCACTGAGACGTGTCCATCCACCTCCTCGATGAGGACAGAAGCTTGTCTGCAAGGGAACTGGTGTGGTGTGTCACAGCGGTGAGCACAGGGATGTGCTCCCGTAGCTGCTTGTGAAACGGTACCAAAAGGGTGATTCATTGGGAAGGAACAGGCTTTGCAGATACTGGTTTTAAAATACGGCAGTTAATATTTCTCGTATGGTAACGTGGAGGAAGCCGCATTGAGGATTGGATCCAGACATGCCGGGCTGTGCGCAAACACGTGATGCAAAGGGCTTCTTTGTGGGTGTAGTATGCAACAAGTGGATTAGGAAAGTAGAACAGAATAGGAAGCGATAGAAGAAAATTACTAAATTTAGTATAAAAATAGACATCTCAGTTTACTCTTGGGCAATAATGATCTTGCTAAACACTTCTTAAAGTTTTGGATAAGCAGAATCCTTTTACCAATTTTCTTATTTCTTATTTATCTTGTGCCTAGCAGGGATTCTGAACTTTTGCAAGCTAGAGAAGATTCAAACCAAGAGAATAATTTGTGATGAGTTTTCCACATTTAAGTGTTAAGCAAGATGATTTTTTTCTATTTTACAGATTAGAGAAAAGGCATTTCCTTCTTTGCCTCTCTCCATAAGCTAGCGCCACGTGATTTTTTTGAAATGTGTATGCCTGTTGTTTGTGTAATGAATCGAAAGTTTTGGTCCATTGCTTGTTTAAAAATTCAGTGACCTCCTGTTAAATGACATGAAACATACTTTGTAAGCCTGGTTAATATAAAAAGGTACGCTTTTTCATGCATGCATATGTTGGGAAAAGAAGAGTATTTTTATTTCTCTTTAAGTCCACTCAGGTAAGAAAAAAGTCGTTCTGGCTGCAAGGTTTATACTTGTTTCAGATTAATTTGTGTTTATAAATCCTTGAGAAATCATGAGGTTTTAGGTTTTTTGAGATGAAAGAGCACATTGGGGCTTGGCGTGAGAACTGAAGTGCTTGTCTCTCTGCCCAAAACGTCTCGGTCGTTTTATTGTCATGCAGTGGTTAGTTTTCTTTAATGCAGTTTATAAAAATTAAGTCTAAGAGGTGCTTCAGCCATGGGGTTTTTTTTACATGTCCTTAAGCAGTATTTAGTGGCGGCAGACCATTAGTCCTTCAAATAGGCTCTAGTAAAGTTTGAAGTGTAATGCACAGAGACTGTTTTTACATTTTGTTTGTTCTGTCACTGTTTTGCTTCTTGAACATTAACCTTTAATAGAGCTAAATTAAATATACATGTCCTGATGAATAATTATGAGATTGCAAGCATTTTCATTTTGTACATAAAGCTTCTCAGGGATTGCAAATTTGACTAAAGGTTTAGTCATTATTCACTTTATAATGCCCATGTTACTTTTGTCTTTTAATTCTTTACTGATTTAAATATAAAAAGCACTGTGTATTTGGAGCAAAATACCTCTTGTGGGTGTCCTGGCTTTTTACAATGGGCGTGTTAAAATGAGGCGGGAAAATGCACCCACAACTTTGTAAAGTTCAATTTCTTCCATTGCGGCATTTCAACCCTACTGCGTAGAAATATCATAGCTGAAGCTTAAGATCCCTGCCTGATATCTTTTGCGGTTCCTGTGACAATTTAAGACGTGGCTAGATTGAGACAATCCAGCCTTTCTTTATGTTCAGCAGATGAATGTCCTGGGTTAGCTCTTTCGGAGAAATGCTGAGCTGCAGGAGTGTGACAAAACGGTCATCCCAGATAAAGGTCGGCAGACCTCCGTGGGAGAGGGGTGATGTTGTGACAGCCCCTACCTTAATTGGACCATACATAAATATTGCAGGGCCTTTAACTCGTGCTACTGCTGTGACTTAAACTTTATATTTCATTCCTTACCTGTACCCCCCTGTCTCTGCCACAATAACATTTTAAGTTTGATTTATTATAAATATTTTAATACAGATAATAATAACGAAAAGTATTTGGCCTAAAAAGCATAAATGAAAAAGCTATGTAGTCATAAACTATGTATGTACAGAGAACAGATGACAAGCAACCTAGATTTTGTATTATGAACAGGGTAATGCCATAAGCTGTTGAAGAACCGAAGTAACAAAATGCAGCAGGCTGCTACTTATAATGTCTCTGAGCTCAACATAACCCAGTACTATTCTTTTATAAACTATGAAACAACGCTGGCATATTGAAAAAACACACAGGCTCATGCTTAATGTGTTAACAGAGGTACAATAGACTTATTATGTGTTTCCAGAGACTGAGGGTGGTCTGAAAAATTAATGACTGTGGTGGCTGAAAATTAAGTGAACTCCCTAATATATACTGTTGTTGATCCACTGAGTTTGGTGTTTAGCATTCCTCAGCAGGAGACTAAATCTTTGCAGCCATTTCACAAGAGATGCTGGCGCCCATAACAGAAATGTATTCAATAATCTTTTATAAGTCCATTGGACTCCAGCGTTTTCCTATTCTGCCTGGGAAGAAGTCCCCGAATATCTCAGGCGTGCACACGTCAGGTGGGTGTGAAGGTCTCTCTTCAGCAGAAGGGACAAACATCAGAGAATTAATACTGAGAGGGCGTTCCAAATAATTCCTAACTTCTATTCAATTAGTAGTATAAGAAAAAGAGGGAACAAGAGCCGCAAACCCCAAGGTTCATGGAAATAATTACATCCGCACAATATTTCTGGTTATTATTGACCTGTCAATTAGGAAAAGTATAGCAGGGATCTCCATGATCCAATAACCTTTTTGAGCTCGCTGTGCAGAAAGGCACAATTTCCTTCAGGAATTCACTCCCGCAGAAGCAGAGGTATGTGAGGGACACTAGCTGTCAGTGAGCCGTGCAGTTTTTTTTGCTTTTTACCCCAAAATTCTCATTTTGCAAACAAAAATCTGAAACTTCAGACTCCCACATGCTTTCGTATCATGACTGTCTGCACCCAGGGACACTGCCCTGTGGGTTAACACCAGGATGAAGGTGGCGCACCCCAATTTAAAGGCTGGCATAGATACAATGAACTATCTCTATATTTTTAAGTTTGCAGGATATGAGGTGAAGAACTTACAGGAATAGTAACTCAAAGTAGGGCCTTACTGGCACTTAAAATGGATATTATTGGGAAAAAAAGGACACTTGTGCTCTGAACTGTGTGAGTCGCAGGAGTGTTCCTGTTATCGTATATTTTATTTTACTGTTTCTTTTTCAGATCCGGTTCCAGCCTTGGATTTAGGACAGCAGCTTCAGCTGAAGGTTCAACGTATGCACGATATTGAAACAGAGAACCAGAAACTTAGGGAAACTCTAGAGGAATACAATAAAGAATTCGCCGAGGTGAAAAATCAGGGTAGGTTGCAAATGTATTCATTTATCAGCTTTTAATGCATACCGAAATTTGAAGACTGGGATTAAATTCAGTTTTATTTCTTATGGGTAGGGTTGACAGTAGCATTGAAATTCAGTAAAGAAAGTATAATCATCTATTATAGCCACTTCTGTATTTATGTGTGTAGGTAGGACTTTGGGTAGACTCTTTGGATTTCTTTAAAAGTTTCATCTTCTGTAGCACCAAGTCAGAGAATGGAGCTGTTATTCTGCATGTTTGGTTGTAGCCTCCAGCGCTACCTGAAAATTGCACCCCTGACTGAAGTTATGCGTAGATGTCTTATGCGAGGCGGTGCTACTGCTGACATCAAGCTGAATGTATGTGTGGGTGCATGTAGCAGTATCTTTTACACAGACACACACACAAATCCTGTATTTTATACACACATACAAATCTGTACAAAATGGCACTTTTTCTGTCCTCTGTTTTTCCTTATCTAAATCTGAAGTGTGTTACCGGAGTACATTCTGCATACATACTTTATAGTTACTCTAGAGACTATCTGTAGAGCAATGTAAATACAAGCTAATACTGTTTAATTATTTAAATAAGTTTTAATGAGACCAGAGTACATCAAAATACATGAAAATCTCCAAGAGATTTAAAGCCTGTTGTGTTTAAGACTGTTCAAGTTTTCCTGTGATTCAGAAGAAAGTTTCCTGCACCAGGAAACAAAATTTGCTCAGTTGTGCACTTGCTTGCCTTTACATGGGACTTTTCATTTCCATGTTTAATAATTCAGTTCTGGGTGGTGGAAAGGTAAACTTCTAGGCATTTGGGATTTTTTTTTTATTTTTTTTTTTTTTTTAAATATTGTGGAACTGTTGCACCCAAATGGGTAACATTTGAAAGCTACATTAGCAACTGAGTTGGTTCTATTCCATCTCATTTTCAGCAGAAGGAGCATATTTTCAGTTACTATATTTTGTTTTAACCTAGAGGGTGTGACCTATGGAGAGGACAGGTATCAGCATGCAAGGATTCAGGCTGGAGTGCAAAAGATGTCATGTGGGAGCCATAATGCTCTAAGCTCGACAGTATTTTTGGTGGAAATGTAGAATAATTGCAGTTCACTGTTCAGAGTTTTCCTGAGGCTGTGCATCCTGTACATCCAGCACGACATAGGGGTTCATCCCAGAAAGCGGAAAAGATCTCAACTTCCAGAGTTTTTTGCTGCAACCACTCATAAACTGGCATTTTTTATTTTCCCTGGAGTGAGCTAACATCCTTTCTGTTTTTCCACTGTAGTCTTTGCATTGTTTTTCACTCCAGTGCAATAGTTTTACACTCATTTTCAAACAGGGATTAATAAGATATCCAGGGAAAAGCCTGTTGTTAGCTAAGGGTGCTTTGATCAGTAAATCTCTCTGTTTGGAGGGCTGTGTAAGAGCTATATGGTTCCTGTAAGAACTTCTTCCAAAACTGGTATAAATGGCAGTGGCTAACAAGCTGTAGCTGACCCGAACAGTAAAGAAGGCACTTAGTTCTTCAAGCAATGTAAAGGATTAAACTGTGCTTGTCCAACACATCTATTGTTAGGTGCCTAAAGGTAAAAACCGATTTTGTCACCAAAGTCCTGATTTTTTCCCATATTTGTGCACTTCTTGTATTCATTTTGTAGTTTTGTTTCCTTTTGGTTTTCCTTTTCATTTTTGTTTAAAATGAAACATTAAAACCATGTCGGGATGCAACTATATGCATTTCCATGAGACTATTTAATTCTGTGTTTCTTCATATATCTGAATGCTTTGCAGATTTATGTCTGAAAATACCTGGAGCAAAGGTGTCTCCAGTACAAAGAGTATGTCCTTTGAATGTAAGAATGAGCACCTTTTTCTCTTTGTGAAGGAACATCCTTTGCTTATTCAGGAAAAGATTTATATTACTTCCCAGATCTCAGAGAAGAATTTCCTTTTGCTTATTAAAAAAATAGTGACATGTCCTTTTCACAGCCTATCACTCAGTAATGCACATCGTCTGATTTTTGCATGGCTAGCAAAATCCTGCTCCTTCATTCAAAAGTAGCTGATTTGCTGGCAATCATTTTTACCACTCTTCCCCCTGCTTTTTTGTGGTCATGGTAGCACAAGCTGCCTTTGGTATAACTCCCAGACAGCAGACCTAGCCACCAGCTATCTACTGTCTGGCTTTACAGTTCTCTAGTCAAGTCAAAAAGTCTAGAATTTGAAAGGATTATGCGCAGTTTTGTGTGATATTATTGAAAATTTTTTTTCCCAAGTCCACAGGCTTTACTTTTCATAGTAGAATTTGTTTTCCTGTGATGTTTCTGCAGAATGAGAAACTTTTTATGTCCAAGGGTATTTTTCCCTAAAGCATAGTTAATGACATCTGTTAATAAGCTGATGTCTTTAAATCACCGCATCTCTGTGTAAGTACATTGAAATGTATTGCTAGCTGTGAGTCTTCTGGCAGTCTAACGCTTTTTCCAAATTCCATTATTGTTACAAAGCATACTCTGGTGAATGTTCTGCTTTTCCTCCTGTGAGCCCTATAAGGATTCCGTCCTTTCCTGTGGGTGGGATCAAAGGGCTTTCACGTAGGAACGGATCAGGGCACGTAAAAAGATGCTGTCCGTCAGAGGCTGCGCCGTAATGCTGCAGGTTTATGCATCTTCTCTCATCCATTACCGGGCGCAGTAAATGCAAGATAGCTTCTTCATCTGAGAGAAGGTTTTCTGCAAATTCCCTGGAAGGCTTACAAGTACACTCAGAAAATTATAACAGTTCATGCTTCTGCGTACAACCCAGTGTCGATGACAAGGCAGTTAGAACAACTAGAATATGAAGGGCTCCAGCGTGTCTATTGAATCTGATCTGCTGTTAATACAGCAGTTAAGATTTAACTGCCGTATTTTTATCAATTGTGAAGCAGAACGTAGCTGTATCCCAGATATGTGTTCAATTAGTGTTAGATTGCATCTGTGCATGAACCATAGTAAAACTGCCTCTTTTTGCATGAGCACAGTTGCGTGAATTAACTGTCCTATGTGTAAATGCATGCTTGAGCCTACACTGGGACTTTATTAATCTCCACTCAGCAGCAAGCTAATTTGAGACTAGTCAATAAGGTGATATTATATTTTACAATTGATTTTTTTTTTCCCCCATCTTTTTTTTTAAAGTCATGTTAGAGGGAACCTTCTTTGCTCCGCTTTCCAGCAAACTCCATTGATCCTTCTCAACCTAAACACTTAAAGTTCAATTTAACATTTAGGGAGTAAAAGGTCTCCAAAGGGACTCATATCCATTGATTTTGTGTCAGAGTTGAAGAGCTAAAGTTTAAAACACACTGAGCCTACAGGGTAAAGAAAACCTTGTGTTGTGGAACCACGTGGAGCTGTGTAAACTCATTCTTCCCCTATTGTTTTTCTGTAGAGGTTACAATAAAAGCACTTAAAGAGAAAATCCGAGAATATGAACAGACCCTGAAGAACCAAGCGGAGAATATAGCCCTTGAAAAAGAACAAAAGTTACAAAATGATTTTGCGGAGAAGGAGAGGTGAGTGTGCGTGTGTGTGTCTGTAGGTATTGTAGAGGAGGAGAGATGTATTTTTCTGTTTAATCTTCCCAGCCAGGACTCTTCAGTGTACTGAGACAGCTTATATATTGAGCGATTCTGGTGATTTATGTGTTTGACAAGGAATCATTTGATACTCAACTTTGCACAGAAAAACAATCGTGAAAGTGTGGAAGTAAAACAAGGGCAGATTGTTTCTTTGCGGTAGCGTTGTATGTGGGGTGTCATGTTCAGAAGGGTGCAAACCTGCTTTTACTCTTCACTAGCTGTATTGTCCTTTGTGACACTAATCTTTCTCCATTAGCCGACGATGTAATTCAGTCTGCTCTGTCCGCTTTGTGTGTCACAGTACCCTTGTACAATCCGTACAGGCCTGAGCTGTTTAAGGTGAAACGCTGTACCCCAGAGCCTGGGTAAAAGATACATCACCCCTGCTCCTGTGGAATGTGTAAGAAGGGCACTGGGTTCCTGAATTACCCTGAAAAGCTTTGCATATTCCTACATGTCAAAATTAAGAAGTATTTTAATTCTTTATTAGTAAGTATTGGAAGCATCTTGGATGCATTGCAAATATTTTGCAAATGAGTGGGGAACGTTTGAATCTTGCAGGTTAGTGGGCAGACAAGACCCAGGCTCTTTAGAGGGAGTTCTTTCAGGCTGCGTTCCCTACTTGAGAATTTACTTCTCCCGTGGAGCAAAAACACTGAAGCTGTAATATGGTCAACTTAGTGTGGAAGCCCACCAGTTTATGTGAGCTTTTTAGTTGGTGGGTTGGTTGTTTAAATGCAGGTCTGAGTGGGAAGAATCTCCTGGTGACTGCAAAGCTTTTTTTAATTCATCAATATCTGTGGTTACTTTTTGATAAGTAGCATGTAAGCAGTGGCTTTAACAAGTACAATTTAGATATGCTTAAAAATAAAATAAAATGGCAAGTCGTGTAATGCAAATAACAAAGAACTATGTATAAGAGAGATTTTGAGTTCTCAAAGTATATAATTTGGTATGAAGGGAACTGACGCACGTTTCTTGCTATAAATAGTTATTAACCTGGTCAGCAGTGTTGGAGAATAAATCTGTGCACCCTATGGAGTGCAAGTAGGATGCTGGCAGTTTCATAAGCCATTTCACAATTCTGAAATCTGCAGAATATCTTAAAAGCAATGTCGTAAAAAGCAGCGACTCCTGGGAGATGTTGGAGCAACTTCCTTTCAAAGATGAGTTTTATAACTCTTGTAGCCTTTAGCAAAGAGTGTAGTTGACTGTACAGCCAGATGATGTTAAAACGTGCATAGCTGACACAAACAAGAAAATATTGCCTGTGGACATAAGAAATGTGAGCATATTAAAGGTTTGCTTATGTTATATAGAAAATATCAATGTGAGATTTGTTTTGAAATATGTGTGGTTTTTTAAAGAGTAGCTAATAATATTACTGCATTTGGCATCCATTACAGCTATGATGAAACAGCTGCCGCATCTATTCACTATATCAGTTATGGCAACAAATTTCTTCATTGTGACAGTAAAATGGAAATGTATCATTCTTCTTGTACTAACTTTGTACAACAGAGGGTGCTTGGTGACAATTTTCTTAATGTGTGTGACATTTCCAAAACAAATTATGCTCAAGAAAACCTTCCACTAAAGTTGTCATTTATATACCAGTCAACTCTTGTATAATGTTCGCAGCTTATGTTATGAGGTGGCTACACTGTTAAAATTTTAATAAGTGGGACTGCAAAGTATGAACAGTATTGCGATGTGACATGATTTATGGGTCCCATTGAAGCACCTTGTAGTCTGTGTGGTGTTGTCAGTTGTCTGATTACAGTTGAGACATTTAATCACTCTATCTTCTAAATTTGCAAAATACAAATAAGTTGTTTAACATGATTATGAGCTTTGTTCTCACCTCTTCTCTTCCCTTTATAGAAAATTGCAGGAGACACAGATGTCGACAGCCTCGAAGCTGGAAGAAGCCGAACACAAAGTTCAAGCTTTGCAAACAGGTTTGGCATCACTATTCTGACCTATTATCAATGATCGGGCTGGAGGTGAGAGGATAGAGATCACTGAGAGCATCAGGACTGTGTGTGAACCAGCTCTTGTAAGGGCAGAGAGATGCAGCAGAGCTGGAATGTGCGCTCTGAATCGGAGCTTCCTTAAGTGAATGCTTGCGTTGCAGCCACTGTGTTGGTAAATACAGTGGACAAGGCCAAGCAGGAAGCACAGACGGCATTAGAGCATCACTGCAGTTAAAGCAGGCAGTGGAACTTTTCACCAGTGTCGTGTTTTGCTCTGGTTTCACGCATTTCTGAACTATGATAAATACATGTAGTGAGCTGGGTTAAGTACAAACCCAGTTTCTACCAGTGTGTCTTGCCAGTTGCTATGACTTGCTTGCTGTTAATTGTCATCTCTGCGTACTGAGAGATTCCAGGTCTGGACACATTTGGGTTTCTTTACTATGAAAACACGAGAAATGTTATTCCCTGAATTACTGCAATAAATGTTTCAAATGAATAAGTGGTTTAGCCAGCTTAATAAGAAATTGATAATGTCTAGCTTAGTTAAGCAGAAACTGAGAATTTTTGCAATGTAAAAGAAATTCCATAAGAAATTGTGAAAAATCAAAACCTATGTTTTTTCTAAGTCATAGTGGTTTGCCTAGGTCGAAAGATAAAGCAAAGAATTTTTCATCAGGAGGTGTACAGTTTTATTTATGGCTGAATAAAAGAAAAAGGAGTAGTCTTTTTGCTTTTCACTGCTGTTACAGTGCTGTAATGCTTCATGTTTATGCCTTTTAGCCTTGGAAAAAACCAGAACAGAACTGTTTGATCTGAAAACAAAATACGATGAAGAAACTACTGCAAAGTAAGATTTCACTGTTTTCTTTCTATGTCTTCCTTCAGGGTATCACTGCTTTTTTTTGTTTTGCATCTGTCTGTTGGAGACAGATGAGATGGAAGAGGTTCAGGAGTCCAAATTTGTTGGAAAACATGGTCATAATTTGGCCTCCTATAGAGAGATTATTAGTTTTCATATTTTCTTCCACCCAACAAGACACTTTTCCTGGCACACATGCTGTTGCATTCCTGGTTTCATTCTCAGGTGCTGTATCTACTGTGTACCTCTTCTGCTATGTATCGCTATGTTTCATTTAGAAATAGGGCAATTTCAGAAATAAGATATTTACTGTGATCTTCCAATCTTGGTGAAAATAAAATTCAGTGTAGTAAAGGATTTCGATTTCACTGTTAGGCACCCTGGTTCTTTCTGCTTCAGGGGTAGCAGTCATCACTCTGTCAAATCTACCCCAAATCACAGAGAGTAGCATTTTTGGCAGATTTGTCTTGTTTTCAAGGAGAACATGAAGGTAGCCTCAAAAATATATATCTTTGTCTTCTTAGTGGCTACTGTTTTCAATTATCCGCTGGTTTTATTAACAATCGGTGCAGGAAATGACAAGAGAGAGACAGACTTCTGCTGTTTTTCTTTGAACCCTTCATATTTAAGGAAAGTTAGTAACGGGAAGGAATTCTCACAATCAGCACTATAAAGCCCAGAGAGTCATTTCTGTGTCTGGAATTGGGGTGGGAAAGACGAAGCCAGTTCGGATGGGTGTCCCTGGCCTGCTGTAAGAGCAAGGGTTGGAAGAGGCACGTCACATCCCTGTGCCCGTTGCCCGTGTCCCGCTGAGCCCCAGCTTCACCCCTGCTTCCAAGTAGGCAGTGATCGGGTGAACGGAGAGGAAAACCCTTGCTCCTGCCCTTACCACCCATTCTGGTACAGGAGAAATGGTCAGGGAGGGCTGTGGGCAGTCTCCGTGTTGGGGCAAGAGAAACTGTAACCTGGGCTTGACGGGCGGAATGCCATGGTCTTGGTTTTGTCTGTAGGGAAGTGCTTCCTGCTGTGGCTCGTGGCAGTCTAGGTACTACAGGTTTTTCAAAACCAGTCAAATTGGCAGCAAGTTTTAATCTCTTAGCATGTGGTTCTGTGAGCGTTGAGCACCCGATTCCCCACCGAGTACATGGGGAACTTGGAGCTTACCCAATTCAGTCCATAGTAGTTAAGAATCAGCGCTTGGAGTTGAAACACCTTTTACAATCATTCAAGATAATCTTTTAGGTAAATTTTGGGTTTGCTCTGTAAGTCCAGTTTCCTTTGCGTTCCATATAAGGTGATCAAAAGTATTTTTGTTCCCTCATTGATTTTATCCTTCTCTGAGAGACATGTACTAATGATGTTTCTGATGGAGCCTTAAATTACTGCAGATTGCCTTTATATTTTTTTCTGCATGTAACTGATACCGGCAGCTCTGTTGCTGTTATTTTGCCTTGCAGTCGCTTCTGTGGGAACAGAGATCAGGGCTCAGTGGTTGTAGGCACTGAACCTAATAACCTCTCCCCCTTTTTAATGTTTTTATTTGCAGTGTTTGCTTCATTTTTTAATACTATTTCCCGCAGTACTGTAATTTATCTTATACTGAGCAAAAGATGTACTCTAAAATGTTTGTTTGCATTTCTAATGCGTTTCATTCTTTCAGAGAGATTCACGTGGAAATATTTTCATGTGATCTTGAATATGATTCTTACCTAATATATATAGAATTACGTAAAATTAGTAGCATCTGCAGTAACAAGTTTATTGTGTTCTGAGGCAGAATGATTATGAAGGCTGGGTCTCAAATACAGTGATCATGGAGCTGAATCCTGAAGCGGGCATTAACCACGTACTTTATCTCCCAAACTAATGTACTGTGAAAACAAACTTGTAGGACCTAATAACAGCAGAAATATTTTATCATTGTTTTGGATATTTATGGCAGGAATAGTTCTTGCATAACAACAGGCATCTGTGGTGTTTGTAGCCCAAATTTTGCAATATGGAAATGTAGAAAAACATGAAAAGGGAACTGAATGTAGACAGTGAAATTGAGTCATCTTTTTTAATTGTAAAAGCTGGGAGAAATGTTGAAAAAACACCAATAAAAATGGTGAAAGACAGTTTGATTCTTTTTTAAAAAGAAACTCTCTTTTGATCTAAGTCTGAAAAGCTACTTGTATTGCCAATTTTAATTTTATGTTTTAAAAACATGTGATTTTTATCTTAGGCCAGAATTGTTAGTTTTACAGACGCTTATTTGATGCAGATGAATTGGAGTGCCTTCAGGAAAAAAAAGATAATTGTCAATTTTTTAAAGCTAACAGTGCTTTTAAGATTTTCAGTTTTGGAATAAAGCTGTCTTTCAACTGTTTGTAACTTTGAAAATCTTTTAAACAACAAAACAAAAAAGCAGCAAAAGAAATACACAGTCAGAAGTCTTCAGTTATCAGCATTAAGGAGTCTGGATTTTGTCTTAGCGACTGGTTGTTGTGATCTTGAAGTTGGAAATCACGATGTCAACTTGTCTGTTTATCTTTTTCAAAATGTCCCCGTTCGAAGCACTACGTGCAGAGTGAGGTACGGAGGTACTGTCCAAACTTGATGCTAGCGAGGCATCTTCAAATGAGATCAGTCGTTGAAATTAAAATCTGCAGTCAAATTAGCCTCTGTCGTCCCTCTGTCTATAAAATTCCCCAGCGAGCAGGTAAGGTGTGTGCAGCGGGAGCGGAGGTGCTGCCCGTGCCCCTTCCCTGTGCCCCTGCGTCCCGCAGATAACCCGCGTGCAGGGTGCGGAAGGTGTTAACGACAAAAAGAAGTTTATTATGTGCAGTCATTGCAGTCTGTCAGCTGGAATATCAGAAGCTGAATTTGACAAGATGGCAGCAGCAAAGTTTTCCATGTGTAGGCTTGAAGTAAAATGTAATTAGCCTTTATGTGCAGAACAAGGATCCATTGATGAATACAGCTGGTCTTTGTTTTCTTCTGTCATTGAGTGTGGGAGGTAAAAGTGTTCTTCTTCATGTTTATTAATACAAGATTCCTTAGACAAATGGCAAGCACAGTTTAATATTTGTTGGAACACAGAGGGGCTTGCCAAAACAGTTGTTGTGTAAGAGGATTTCAAGGTTTTCAGATTATAATCATCTCTGGGTTAAATAAATGAATGATTACTCTGCCTTTTTCAATTAAAGAGGCACATCCTCTCTTGAGGCCTGATACTGATTTTGTTTGCTGTCCCACACGTTTCTATCAGCAAACCTGGATTCTACTAACACTAATGAGCTTGATCTGGAGATTCTGTTGGAGCTGGAACTGAAAAGCAAACTCAGATTTGAGTTTCAGGAAAATTAAAGAATATTGGGTTTGTTTTTTTCCTAGTGCAACAGACTTTTTTTTCCTTCCTCTCTCTGTAGAAAACGAAACATTCTTGTATGCATTTCCTTCGTTTTCTGGGGACAAACTGTTCCCCTTGCTAACGTTGCTCTTGCGCTTCTGGTTCGGTGCAGAGTCCGAGCAAGTGTTTGGGATTCCCAGCCGAGCCGTTAATGCTCCCAGCCAGAACGGTCGAGTTCCAGTTTTAGATGAATTCCAGAGCCACCTCTTTGCTCCGACCCCTCCTCTCCCCAACCTAAATGAATTCTAATTGGAAAAGGATCTTCGGTTGTAGCACATACAGTAGGCTTGTTACATTACTGTTAACATGTGGGTTGAGACTCCCTGCCTTTGATGAAAGAAAATATCGAATTTCAGTGAAATGCTACATTTTCACCAGTAAATGTTAAGTAGTCTTGTGAGGATTTTCGGTGCTGCCGCCCTTCTGCAATAAAAACCCTTCATAAACAACACAAAGCAGAAGATGTTTAGGTTCGAGTTGTCAGTCAAAGCAGCTCTGCCGCCAGTTTTGTTACCTGTATGGTCTTCTGAAAGATGCGGACTTTTTGCTCTTCTAAAAGTAGCATATGCGTATAAATGCGGTGGAGGAGGAGGTTTTCATGTTTACTTAAAGGAGTCATCCTAAAACAACTACTTTCAATAACTTGTAGAAAAATATCTTGCCTTCCAGTATATGAAGCGGAGAATTGTTGCCCTTTTGTAGATTAGACTGATTATTATCTTTTTTTGGCAACATGGCTAAGGATGACACAGGAGGGCATATTGGTGTAGCGTCATTAAGACTGTACACTGGTGCAATATTGCAAATTACCCCGCCGTGTAGATCCAGCTGACTTATTTTAATCCTGGACTGCATTTTAATGAAAACTAAATCTGGAAATGAACAGAGCGTGGTTGATGAAAGTGCAGTCTGCGAGCTGGCGGTCCCTGCTTTACGATAAAGGAGAGTTTGTCGTTGTTTTCAGGCCTGAATCTGTAAACTTGCATTTCAGAATCCGTGTTTAATACTTCTTCTCTTGCAGTGGTCGCAGACCTCAGTCAGCGAGGCTGGGGATACCGGGGTGGGCACTGCGCACAGATCTCTTGCAAAGGCCCTCTCTGCCCTAAAGAGCTTACCGCATGATATCGTGACAGCGTAGAAGTTAATGAAACAAATAGGTAGAAGCTCAGGAATAGGAGGACAAAGTAATGCCTATTTTCATCCCTGTATCCTGCTGGAAAATAAATCCTCCAGTAATCTGCAGAGAGTCAGAGGTGGGTGACAGATGGGGAAGCTGGGGAGAGGCAGGCGATGGTGTCAGGCAGGAGGGCAGCCGGGACGTAAGCAGCTCCTCGTGTTACCTGCACATAAGGCAAAGTGCTCGAGTCTCCGGGAGTGGGGAAAGGAAGAGGTTTCATGGATTGTACACCAAAAATTCAGTAACAGAAGGGGATACCTATGGTTTTTGGCTCTTCGTGTGAAGGGTACTCCTCTTCCTTACTTATTATCGAACAGACCTGTTCTCAGGCATCAGTCTGGAATAAAATTGTGAAAGCGTGGCTTTCTGCATGGAAGGAGCGTAGGATTGGGCTGGAGGACAGGGGACCAGTAGTTT